AGGTAATCTCGAGAGGAATCGAATTCCACGACGCCATTTTTCTTCGTTTCCTTGTTTCGGCTAAAGGCAGATGAAACAAAGAAGAATGAGAAATTTATCGTCGCAACCTGAAATTCGATTCGTTAGCCGATGATGAAATTCAGAAGCAGAGAAAACGACGAGGCGGATGGTTACCGCCTGATCAATGGGAGATTCCACCGGGAAGTTCTTCCCTCGCAAATTTTCCTGTCCTTTCTTTTTTTTCTTCTTCTTTTTCTTTTTCTTCTTCAAATATTAATAAATAAAAAAAATAGAAATGGAATATAGCCGTGAAGAAAGGCACATTCATACGCTTAATTATTTAATTTCGTGCTTTCCATAGTTTTGCGCACCTTATCCCTATTTTATCAAATTAAAAAATAATAATAAAAAAAAAAAAAAACCAGTCGTCAGTCTCATAGTTTTAAAATGCGTCTACTACCCGATGGGTTTCCACACCGTTCCAATGAATGTTTCATTCCCCCCTCCAATCGACGTGAGATCTCACATATCATTTTCATACTTTTTTTTATATTCTTTAGAGGGTAAATGTTTTGACGTTCAATAGGCTAAAACTCGATAATGATCTTAATTGTGTTTTAAAGTATCTCATTCAATTATTCTAATGAGCCGTCAAGCCATGACAACAGTCGCCCATTGCACATTTTGGTTCATCGTTCAACAAACTTTGCACATCAAATACCTCGAACCAAGCAAATAGTAACAAGTCTCAATTCATTATTGTCGCTCACCCCTACTATCTAACCCTCTCCTCCATCGTCATCACTGATTCCAATTCTTCTACATGAAAGCTTAAACTCTAATTTTTTGTCATTGCAAATGTTTTTTTTTTTTTTTTTTTGTTAACTCAATGATGGGTTCACGGGTCGATGACTTAAATTTAAGTCATAGNGCAAATTTTTTTTTTTTTTTTTTTTTGTTAACTCAATGATGGGTTCACGGGTCGATGACTTAAATTTAAGTCATAGACTAAGTAGAATTATAAACATGAATAAAGACATAAACATCATTTACATAATCTAATAATCCAAAAATTAAATTAAAGAATATAAATCCATAACAACCCATCTTCCCAAGTAGTTGAAGAATTTGATTATTATTATTTTTTTTTTGTTCTGTTTCTTTTTTCTGGACATTTTTTTATGAGGGTATAGAAACTTTTTCGTAACGGAGCAAATGTGTTTTAAAATTGTGAGGTTAAAAACAACAGGTAATGGACTAAAGCGAACAACATTAGCTAGCGATGAGTCTGGATTATTACTAATAATTTCAGAGTCGAACACCAAGTGGTGTGCTAGCGAAAAACCTAAATGGTTAGATGAGATCCCCACGTCGATTGGAAAAGAAAACAAAACATCTAACGATAAGTAGCCCACCAACTCAACACATGGGACCATCGTATCTGATGGCTCTCTTTTTCCTTTAGAAAACAAAACATCCCATGCTCTTTTGAGCTATCTTCAACCCTCCCCTTTTTGCCTCACATGGGTTGATACCCTTTACATTACCCAACCACCCTTCCAAATGTTAGTTTTATTTCCATTTTGTCCCCAATAATGTCCTTACTCCCATTAATAAAAACCCTACTTCCTCTACATAATTTGTCTACCGACAAGAAATAACTATTTTAAAAGTACAGTGACCAAAATAAATTTAAAATTTTAAGCTCTCGAATGAAGTCCTAAAAAAACGACAGTTCTCCGACCCCGAAAAGTGATTTATATTAGGGCCCCGCAATCAAGCAAGCGTGTCTCCAAACACTCACCCCCATGTGCAGCTTTCCCTCCATCAAATCCGAAAAATAGTTCGGTTCCCATAATTATTTAATCACATTTGTCCCAACATGTCTTATTATCTCCCATTATATAAAACCCCTCACCCATCTCCATTCCTTTCAGCTCACACACAAACAAACTCAAGTCACCTAACATGATGAAGCTCCGGTCTAAGAGGTTCTGCACAGCCTCCACTTTCAGGCTTCCAAGCTTCGTCACCCGCTGCAACAAGAAGATCAAAGTCGCCGACGACCACCACAACGACATCGTCCCCCTGTCCGAAATCAAGTGGGAGCTCCGCCCCGGTGGCATGCTTGTCCAGAGAAGAGAGATCCCCGCCCCACCCACTTTCACCCGAGATCAAACTATCACGGTTAGAGTCTCAACCGTCTCCCAATCCCACGACATTTCAATCCAACCGATCTCAACTTTTGGTAAGTCCAGTTAAAATATCAAATATAAACTGTCTGGTCTCTACTATAAATACTCCTTAACTCATAGTGTCTTGTAATCTCTTTTTTATTGTTTTTAATAAAGAGTACGAGTGTTTCAGGGGAATTGAAGATGATTCTATCAATGGTGACCGGTTTGGAAGCAAGAGAGCAAAGATTGCTATTCAAAGGGAAGGAAAGAGATGACTGTGAGTATCTACACATGGTGGGAGTAGGAGACAAAGACAAGGTTCTTCTGCTTGAAGATCCAGCCATCACAGAAAGGAAGCTTCATGGCTTGGCAGCATCCCAACCAATTAGTGTATAATTAATCACACTAATCCTAATTAATCCCAAACTAAACATGCTTTTTCATACCACTAACTCCAACAATTTCAAACGCCTTAATTTCTCGTATGTTTTTAGGACTCCGTTCTTGTATTATAGAAGAATCTGTAAGGATCGAGTGTCTCGAGTGTCTCGAGTTTAAATTTTAGAGATAATTAATGTATCTTCATCTTTTGTAACGGTTTAATTTATATACTTTAGGTACGTCGTTTTTTTAATGATAATTTGAAAGATAATTTAAAAAATGTAAAAGCTATGGTGTTTTAGTTTTGTATGTGGTGAGCTGACCCAAGCGTGCAAGCATGCGTTAAAGTTGCTGTGAAGTTGTCGGTTGCTATAAAATAAAACCGTCCCTTAAACTTATTTAAAAAACTTTTAAAATATTTTTAAATTTAAAAAAGAAATAAGTTTAATTAATACCTTAATTCTTTTAACTAACTTTAAAAACACAAAAATTTTAAATTATTTAATAAAAATTAATAATGTTAATACTTTTTTTTAAATATATTACTAAAATAAAATTTTAAAAGTTGAGTATATTTTTTTAGAAAGAAAAAAAAAAAAATAGAAGTATTTTTTTTATTATTAATTCAGCCATTTCTATTTAATGGTATTTCCCTATTTCTAATTTATTTCTAATAGTTCACACAATGTGAGCCCATTTTCTTGTCGAGCAAGCTTATTCTGATAGCTCCTTATATTGGACACCAATTATAATTATAGTTCACACACTATTGAGTCCCTTTTCTTGTCGAGTAAGTCTATCCGGACACCCATTAGAATCAGTAACCGTCACAGCAACATTATGTAAAACATAACGATACTTCACCTGTCTAGTGGTGTACGTGTCCGAACCCTCGTGAATCAACCCCACTATTTAATATAACTCTGCATCCTATCAGAATAATCTTCACTAACATGACCATTCGCAAGGATGTAAGAGAATGTTGGGGCTGAAGGGTAAATGAGTCGTTGGATCGTTTAAAATTTAAAATAACACTAAAGTTTCACTTATTTGTAATTCAAATTTTTATAATCATATTTGCAACATTATCTATAATTATGTTTTTAAAAAAAAAATGAAGAAAGAAAATAGAAGGGTAGACTGCATTTCCCAGAATGACCTTATGTCCAAAATGAACTGTTTGTTCACACGTTCTCAGCTTCTTTTCACAAAGCGACCCTGAAAGAGGGGTAGAAAAGTCACATAATATTAAGGATAGTAAAAAGTAAAAAGAGGTGGTAAATTAGGAAGGATGAAGAAAAGTTACCTTAATTCTTGGGCGCTTCTCAGCATTGAGCTTCCTAACTTGATAGCGAATGCGCTTGGAAAACAGCCGGCTCTGCCTCTTCTCTTTGTACCTCAGAACACTTGCTTCCCTTTCTTTCCCTATTTCTGGGACTTTCCACGCGTTATTCCCTTCGCTTCCCATTCCATTTCTCTGCATCAACACCAAACAATTTGAAGATCAACACATCTAAAACTCTGATTTTCAATGAAGTAAACTGATCTTACAACATTGGGGAGAGAATCGGAGCAGAGAGATGGATCGTCATGGAGATTCGGCACTGTCTGCGGCGATTCTCCATTGATGAAAAGTGGAGCTTTGTCCGACCAGGCATTCAATATCCCTTCATAATCCAGCTTCAACCATACATCCGCCGCTGTGCTTCTTGCTTCCTTCTTCTCCACCACTTCCGAATAACACACCCACCTCTCCTCCGCCCCCACTTCCCTCTCTCTGCTTCTCATCGCCGTCCGTACAAGTTCCGGCTCCGACCATGTATCGTTCTGGTGTAAAAACTTCTGCAGGCTGCTGCTGTTCTCCGGATGCAGGGGAAACAGAGTGAGCTGCTTCTTTGGCGGCGATGGCGGGTCGTGGATCATCTTCAGGGGAAAAATTAGCTGAGGAATTTGGGTCGTCTTGTTTTGGTTCTGGATTTACGAATCGGATGCTTGATTAGGGAAATTTCATTGCTGACGCTCATTTCTCTCGATCTTCTTTAAACAACACACACACAAATTTCACTCTGTTTGCAACAGACAGGGGAAAGAGTGCAAAAAGCGAAGCCAAGGAGGCGGGAGGGACCCAGTTGGTGACGTGTTCGGTCTCTTGACACGTGGAGAGAACAGATTGGGCGGGAGTGGATTTTGTGTTTTTATCCAAATTTCCCTTTGGATAGAATCGTGGGGGTGTTTTTGTAATTTTATTATACTTATTTTTTCTGAAAACAATTTATATTTTTGCCCCCATTGGAAAAAAATAGTAATATTCTATTTTAATTTACATCCACGTCAGTGCAACGGTTGTTTGCCAGATCTTGATATTGATAGTATTGATTAAATGAGAAACAGAAGTGAAAGAATTAAAAAGATGGATAGAGTAGTGGAGGATCTTATGATAATCACTCTTTTGAATTATCAGAGAATGGTGAAATACATTAAGTATGCAACAGAACCATAATCTCTTCAAATTCAATTCAAACCCATCTCATAAAATTTAAAAGTTTAGAAGGCAAACAATCCAGCAACGCCCAAAAGCCCCGCAACGGTGGCGGCTGACACTTTCTGGAACGAAGCATCACTGGGCGGAGAATCAGCGGGTGAATCACTTGGTGCATCGGCCATATCTTCGTCTTCGCTGACGGGTCCGGCAGCAGGTCCGCTTGGGGAAGGTGGAGATGACGCATCAGCATCAGACTCGGGGGATCCAGCAGGGGAATCGGCAGAACCCTCATTGCCGGCAGGGCCAGAAGCAGGGCCGGAAGCAGGGCCATCGGCAGGGCTGGAAGCCTTAGGGGCACCGGCCTCAGCCTCAGGGGCACCGGCATCAGCCTTGGGGGCACCGGCATCAGCCTCGGGGGCACCGGCATCAGCCTTGGGGGCACCGGCATCAGCCTTGGGGGCACCGGCATCAGCCTCGGGGGCACCGGCATCAGCCTTGGGGGCACCGGCATCAGCCTCGGGGGCACCGGCATCAGCCTTTGGGGCACCGGCATCAGCCTCGGGGGCACCGGCTTCAGCCTCGGGGGCACCGGCTTCAGCCTTGGGAGAAGAAGCAGCTCCTTTGTGAGCATGGGCAGGGGATGGAGCGGCAGCTGCGGCAGTCTTATTTTCAGCAGATTTGGCGTCAGAGGGTTTATGGTCATCGGCCTTGGGTGATGCGGCGGAGACAATGCCGACAACGACGGCGAAGACAAGAGCAAGGAGAAGCAATTGGCGGGCCATTGTTGCTGATTTTGTTAAGAGATGGGAAGAAGAAGAAAGAGGGAATTTATTTAGATAGGATTCTGAAGGTTGCAGAAATCCTCTAAGGTATATAGAGAAAGACTGCAAGACCAGAGAATGAGTTTGAAGGAGGAAAGGGGAATGGCATTTAAAGGGGTTTCCGGCCGACGGCGGAGGATTCCGTTTGGAGTTCAGAGGCTCGCCGGATTTCGCGGATTTCGCCATTTTCAGTTGCCTGCAACTGCAACCGGGTCTTCCGGCCAGAATCTTAACTGTATTTAGGATCTCTTCTCTACAATGGCGGGAGGGAAATTCAGTTTAATATAATTTTATATAATATAGTGTGAATTTGAAAAATATATAATATACATATTATATACAAATGGATCTATCGGTTCACGAAACCGACCCGGATGATGACGCGAACCCATTACCCATTTGTAGATGGGGCTGCATCAACCGCCAAGAAATTGAAACTAGAAACTGAAACATGGATCAAATCGCTGGTGTTCTGCCGTCAACGGTGCCGGACTAAGGAGGAATGCGAGGACACGATTCGAAGAAATCTCCGAAGTATGAACAACAAATAAATTGTTTCCTGTTTAATTCGTTTATTCTAATGCTTTTTTAGCAGTTCTCTACTACCGAAATGTCTGTTCTAGGTCTGTATTTTTTCCCTCAATGGATTATTGAATCTATTCCTGCGTGCCTCAGCTCCGATGATGAAGTTCTTGATAGAGCATTTGGAGAAATCCGGATGTGGAATCGGGGATAAGTTCATTAAGAATTCTTCTCATGGTAGAACTTCAAATCTCTGTGTACGCTCATGCTAACTTGAATCTGATCTTGGCAATGATTTCTGGAGGAGTGTGTGAGGAGAAGAGTGATGAAATCAGTGGCTGCTAATCCTTACTGCTCAGAAGCTGCTGCAAAAGATGCCATGGAAGCTGTCTGGGATGTTTGTTATAATGATACACAGCCATTTGATAGATCTCCCTGAAGAATGGTTTATGCTCTCATTTCATCTGCAGAGAACAAAGCCGCCGCCGCTCCTAATTTAATGGCGCAGTGCCAAAAAGAGCAACAGGTTTTTGTCTCGAAATCGGAGGTTTAAATATTCATATACACTGCTTATTAATACTCGTTCCAATTTTTGTCAGTAAATTTGTATGTTAGAGTCAAACAAACTCATCTGATGTGAGTCGTGTAGAGCAGAGCTTAGAGTGGATCGCCAGATTTAACATGATGCACAGATGTGCTTTGTTTCTCACGAAACGTGTGTGGCAACTCCGCCCCTTGGAGGAGCCCTTTCAATCTCCCAATTTCTCTTATATTCTATTTCTTCTTCTTCTTCTTCTTCTTCTTCTTCCTTCTCCCTTGTAATTCTCTCCACCTCTTCTTCCCCATTTTCTCCATTCTCTCTCTCCCTCTTCTTCCATGGCCCTCGGAATCGAAGCTCGACTGCGTTCTAGCAATGGGGGGTGTGTTATGCCGCCCGATGCCCATTTCTCCGATGATGGGGTTTCTCGCAAATCCAAAGTTACCGTCGTTGGAAGTGGCAATTGGGGCAGTGTGGCGGCCAAACTCATCGCCTCTAATGCCGCTAGGCTGAGCTCTTTCCATGGTGTTGTCTTGAACTTCTTCTGAAATCTCATGATTTGTTTGTTATTGTTGCTGGATTTCTATTTTCCCCTTTGCATTTTGAATTATTCATTACTTTTATTGGATTCCAGATGAGGTTAGAATGTGGGTGTATGAGGAGACTCTGCCTACTGGTGAGAAGCTGACTGATGTTATCAACCTCAACAATGTAATGTTCTGTTGATTCATTACGACCCCTTTCCATTTTAGGGAATTTAGAGCGTTACAGATTAGTGATTCTTGGACCTTTATTAACAGGAGAATGTTAAGTATCTCCCTGGTATAAAGCTTGGCATGAATGTTATTGCAGATCCAGACCTAGAAAATGCAGGTCTCATTCTAATCTTTCTGAGTTAACGTGGTGAATCTGCCATGAATTGTGACTCTAATGGGTTGAATCTCAGTGAAGGATGCTAATATGTTGGTGTTTGTGACTCCCCATCAATTTGTGGAGGGGATATGCAAGAGAATGGTTGGAAAGATAAGGAGAGATGTAGAAGCTATTTCACTCATCAAAGGAATGGAGGTGAAGAAGGATGGTCCATGCATGATTTCTTCCCTCATCTCCCAGGAATTGGGTATCAATTGTTGTGTTCTTATGGGGGCGAACATAGCAAACGAGGTTCTAAAACTTGTCCCAATTTTCAGGTCATTTCTTGTTCCGTTTTGTTTTATGATTCTTGAACTGTTCATGCAGATTGCTGTAGAGAAATTCAGTGAAGCAACAGTGGGCTACAGGGAGAACATGAGAGAGATAGCTGAAAAATGGGTTCAACTTTTCAGCACTTCCTACTTTGTTGTTACTCCTGTAAGTACAGTTCATGACCTCATGTTTTATTCAAGCAATCCTTGTTAGCCTTCTAATGGTGAAATATTCAAAGGTCCAAGATGTTGAAGGAGTTGAAATGTGTGGAACTCTTAAGAATGTTGTGGCATTAGCAGCAGGTTAATCATGAACCTTCATCATTTGGCTTCACTTTTGCTGCTTATAATGAGCAACAGCCTTGAAAAATTTGAACATGACAGGTTTTGTTGATGGTTTGGAGATGGGAAATAACACGAAGGTACAAAAATTAGTTCTAAAAGTTCAAAAGGTAACAACCTGAATGTTTATCATATTTTGACTATTTTCACTCAATTGGGTAGGCTGCAATTATGAGAATCGGTTTGAGAGAGATGAGGATGATTTCCAAGCTTCTGTTTTCATCTGTCAAGGACAGTACTTTCTTTGAGAGTTGTGGAGTAGCTGATCTGATTACAACGTGCTGTATGGATAAATTCTTCATTCCTTTTGTTCTTCTTCCATACTCTCTGTCTGTCTTCTTCTTCCATTCTTCCATTCTCTCTGCCTGTCTCACTTAGCCACATCCGTTGGAGAGAGGAACGAAACATTCCTTATTAGGGTGTGGAAACTTCTCTCTAGCAGACACGTTTTAAAACCATGTGGCTGACGGTGATATGTAACGGGCCAAAATAGACAATATCTGTTAGCGGTAGATTTGGCTTGTTACAGATGGTATTAGAGCCAGCATTGTGTGATGTGCCAGTGAGGACACTGGGTCTCCAAGTGGGGTGGATTATGAGATCCCACATCCGTTGGAGAGGGGAACGAAGTATTCCTTATAAGAGTGTAGAAACCTCTCCCTAGCCGACAGTTTTAAAATCGTGAAGTTGACGAGCGATACGTAACAGGCCAAAACGGACAATATTTGTTAGCGGTGGGTTTGGGCTCGTAACAAATGTGTTTTTGGCAGTGGGAGGAAGAAACAGGAAGGTGGCAGCAGCTTTTGCCAAGAATGAAGGGAAAAGGTTAGTATTGCTACTCAGAAACTTGGATCTTCAACATGGATGCTGCCATGTTTCATCACCGCTGTATATGATTTTTGCCTTCTCCCATTTAGGTCCTTTGATGAACTTGAAGCAGAGATGCTACAGGGCCAAAAATTGCAGGTTTTTGTAATCATTTAGATACTTTTAGAAAGAAAATGTGATAGGACGAACAGGAAAGGAAGATGCTTGTTTGTTTCTTGCTAAAATACTCTCCAGAGCTGATTTTATTACACTTTGAAGGGTGTCTCCACTGCAAAGGAGATGTACGAGGTTTTGAACCACCGTGGGTGGCTGGAGCTGTTCCCACTGTTTGCATCAGTCCACGAGATCTGTATCGGACACCTCTCCCCCTCAGCCATCGTCGAGTATAGCGAGCGCAAACCCAACTTCTGTGTTATTGATGGCCATGCTCAGTAATTCAAACAAGACACTGAGAAAGTGTGTCAATGTCAGACTGGGATTTGGTTCATCTTTAGAAGTAAATGTACAGAGATTGCTGAGATTCTCAAAACTTTGAACTGTTTCAGATGTTCAAGAGAATCTCCTATTTTGTTGGAAGATAAGAGTGGTTAGTGCTGTGTAACTCAAAGATCCAAACCTGTAAGTTTCTTTAATGGAAATTCATGATACATATCAGATCAAAACTTCTTTTCTGATTCATTCTCTAACCTCTAAGAATCTTCCAGTTGCAGTAACTTATTGAGTAAACTCCCATCTGTTGGAACCTTCCAACAAACTCCCAGAGTGACTTATTGATTAACCAATGTGAGAGATCCTATCATAGTTGGAGAGAGGAACGAAACATAGATCCTATCATAGTTGGAGAGAGGAACGAAACATAGATCCTATCATAGTTGGAGAGAGGAACGAAACATAGATCCTATCATAGTTGGAGAGAGGAACGAGAGGAACAAAACATTTTTTATTAGGGTGTAGAAATCTCTCTCATTATTAGGGTGTAGAAATCTCTCTCATTATTAGGGTGTAGAAATCTCTCTCATTATTAGGGTGTAGAAATCTCTCTCATTATTAGGGTGTAGAAATCTCTCTCATTATTAGGGTGTAGAAATCTCTCTCATTATTAGGGTGTAGAAATCTCTCTCAAGTAAACAAATTTTTTAGGGAAACCCGTGAGGGAAAGTTCAAAGAGGACAATATCTACTAGCGGTGAGCTTAGACTGACACAAATGGTATCAGAGTCAAGCCAGACACCGAGGGTGTGCCAGTAAGGATGTTGGATCCCTAAGGGGGTGGATTATAAGATTCCACATCGGTTGAAGAGGTGAACGAAATATTCTTTATAAGGGTATAGAAATCTCTTTCTAATAGTCGAGTTTTAGAGGTGAAATCTAAAAGGGCAAGTCCAAAGAGGACCGACCATATTTCGACCCTTGTGCAGGTGTAGGTGTGTTAGGAGGTTCCTAATCCTCTCATTTTCAACTGCTACTATCCACCAAGCTGCCTTTGCATTCAATAGGGTGTCTCATTTTGCATTAATTTGATGGTTGAGCCATGGGCAGCACATATTGAAGTCCTACTCCCAAACTCCCACCACAAACTTTTTTTTTAATGATTTAAAAAAATTAAAATAAAAAATAATAATTTGGATCGTAAAGACAAAATTCAATGAAGTTCATAAAATACTCACCTTAATGAATTTGGGTAATATTTACAAAAAAAGAATAATAATAATAATAAATAGCTAAAGATGTCACTATTTTAATGACGTCACACAAATTTAATTTTTATGTATTAAATGTGGCCCCCATATGACATAGAAGTCAAGAGATTATTTTACATAAATTGGGCCTACTCAAATTGGAATTCAATCCTATTTAATTTATGGCCAATCTTTTTTATGTTTATTTTATTTTCTACATTAAATTTTCCATATATTTATTTTATAAATTTTTGGATAAAAGTAAACATCTAAAGCAGAGATCACATAAACAGAATTTAAGAAAAAGAAAAAAAAAAAAAAAAAAAGATTAGTAATTAGGTAAAGCTGGGAGGGAGAAAGTTGGGGGGAAATTTTGAAGGGGATACTGATGGTGGTTCGCAAGGCATTTGATGGAGCTTGGATTGATCTGAAGGAACAAGTAATTTCCGGCGAAAAGATCTCCCAAATACGCTTCGCCATCTCTGAATCGCTTCAGAACCTTGGAAATGGAGCCTCCCATGGCATTCACCAGCCGCGATTTCCTGAAAAGCTTTCGGAGGCTAGGGATTCTGAGCTTCTTCAACCTCCTCCCGATCGAAGCCCTTCGCATTCTGAAACCTCCAAACCTCCTCTGTTCTCCTAGTCTGGATCTCGCAAACGCCGACTCCAATTCGTCGCTGTGCCGCAGTCTCCGGTACCGGAACTTGGCTGCGGATGCGATTTCGAGGTCCGCCATGAAGGATTTGGAAGAAAATCGAATTGGTCCGTTGAGAAGCAGTGAGAGGGCATTAAAAGGGAGAGATAGAGAGAGATTGTTGAGAGCATTAAATGGCTTGGCTACTGGAGGTTGGGATTTGCATTTTCTGATCTAATCGAGAATGCATGATCAATTATTGATCGAAACAATATGAATTTATTGTTGGAGTGAAATCGGTCCTGTTTGTTCGAAACTTGTTGATGATAGCAGCATGTCCCCCACCTAGTTAGGAATTGGCGGAAGTTCGTAGAAGTAACGTGCCCACCAAACGGCGCGACAGGCTAGTTGAATATCACACGGGGCTTATCTTATTGATGTTCATATATTAACTACCATCATTAATATCCACACCACCCGGGTTAGTTAAATGGGAACGACTGAGATTATATTTTCAATCTCTAACCTTTACCCTATCCCGACCCACTCCACTCAAATTTTGTAGAGAGAATCTCTATCTTGATTCTATAAGATCTCACACTCGATGGAGAGAAAAACGAAACATCATGGCATCAGAGCCATGTCCTAAACTTAGTCATGTCAATATTGAACAAAGAGGTGTGAGCCTCGAAGGTGTAGTCAAAAGTATCGAACAAAGGGTGTACTTTGTTCAAGGGCTCTAGAGAAAGGAATCGAGTCTCGATTAATGGGAGGCTATTCAAGCCTCGAGAGAGGCTTATAGTGTACTTTGTTTGAGGAGAGTAGCGTTGAGGATTATTGAAAGTGAGTCCCACATTGGCTAATTTAAGGAATGATCACGAATTTATCTCTAATAGACACGTTTTAAAACTTTTAAGAGAAACCTAGAAGGAAATAATAGTTATTATTTTAGTCAATAAATTATATATATATATATATATATATATATATATATATATTATTTGCCAATTGATTCCGTTTTCCCTCATTTTAAGTTTTTTTTAGACTATTCCTCTTGAGTGGCCATTGCGCCAGTTATTATTTATTGTTTATTTCCACGATTTAATTATTAAAAATGAAAGAGATAAACACGACCTATAATAGAAAACATTATTTTGCCTAAATAATATGTATATTTTTTAAAAAGACTATTCAATTTAAATTATGTTTCTTTAATTATTTTGTACTTAAAATTCTCATTTTCACATTTTAATTTAAGAAATAAATAAATTACACCCATTTCAAAATTCAATGATAGAAAATAAAAACAATATTGACTAATTAAAAGTTAACAAACGTGTCTATTAATTAATTAATTGAAAATATCTCTCTGTTCAAGGACATAAATTAAATTAAGTTAAAGTTTAATAAACTATGGTAGGTCACACTCTCGTTCAAAATATAAGATTAAAAATTAAAATTTTAACCTTTTGATCGAGATGTTAATGTCTTAATTGATTTAGTTAGGCTCGTGTTATTACTTAAAATAAAAAATGGTAAGAAAAAAATATGTAAACATCATATTGACTAAATAATTCATCATCGACGAGAGATGAATGTTGTTGGAAGAGTGGCAGAATAAACCAACTGAAAATGTAAGAGTGAACGTCGTGGAGTCTAAAGGGAGAAGGTTGAGCTACTCAAGTGAACCGTCCTACCTTCAACGTAGAGACAAAAGGGATAAGGTTGTGACGATGGTCTTATTATCCACACTTATGGTTAGAGGAATGGAGGATCGACCCAAGTTTTCATGAGAGTTGGCAGGTCCAACAGTTCATCACATGAGTCGAGATCGGAGATCACTAACTCGTACGTAATGGAATTACTTGTTTGTATAAATAATTTTGGGCATAATAAAATAATTTATCTTAATTAAAAAAAATAAAAATAAAAACTAGGGAGGAATCTGAAAGCAGGGGAGACTTTCCCAGGACCAGAGTGTCCTAATCAGCAGATCTCATGATGGCAAGCATGTTGGGTGGTGTAATATCCACTTCAAGCCGCTAAAATTGCGCTAAAGCTTCATAACTTTTTTGTTATAAAGGCATCGGATGTCTTCAATAATGCCCATTCTTTATTTATTTTTCTTCCAATTTTCAGCCTTCGCACGCCAATCGATCATGTGCTCCGCCTAAACCGAACCCCGTATTTTAGAGATACACCCACTTTACAAAACTCCACTGTTTCGCTTCAAATCCGCCATTGAAACCCAACTGTTCAACCCGTGCATCCATTTTTTTCTCTTTCAAGATGCTTCAATTTCTTCCATCTGCTTCCTGCTGAGGTACTTTTTGTTAGGTTTTGCATCAAATCTGAGAAATTGCCCACAAGGTGTTTGTTGAAATGCCTTTTTCTTTTTGTAGCAGCTATTTAGAATTTGGGATTTTGGGTTTGGATTAGCCGATGCTTATGTACTCTTAAGTGATTGTAAATTTGCAATGCTGGTAGCAAAGCTCAATCCATGGTGAAAAATTAGACAGACCCATGATTGTTTTTTGTTTAGGCTGTGCTGTGCCGAGTGAATTTTGTGTTTATTTACTTTCTATATTTGGCGTTTTCGTCGTTGGTAAATGAAGGGATATGGCTGAGGTGTCTGTAGACTAGACTTCGGTGTCGAAGAAACTTAACAGATAAGTCTATCTTCTAAGTCGGCTTGGCTTCACGGGTTTGCGTGAACCAGTCGTAGGTGCCGCCATTTGTTTTGGTTTCTGAATACGTTTTCAATTCAATATTTTCCCAGACACTTCCTCCTCCAATTCCTACACGCGTCTCCCGTATTTAATTATGTGTTTTTTTCTTTTCCATCCTCGATATTGTAACAATTCCTTGTAGATCGGGATTTTGATTTCCCTACAATTTTCATATCTTGCATTGAGATTGATAGAGCAGGATTTTGTCGGGTTCTTCTGTAGAGACTTTTTTGTTGTGCTTGATGGGGGCCAAAAGTTCAAAGGAGGCCTCGACCTATCGCTCAACTTCTTCTTCCTCATGGGGTGGTGGTGGTGGTGGTGGCGGTGGTGGATATTCTCAATCGTCATATGGACATGAGACCCCAAGTTATGCGCCTCAGCAATCCTATTCTTCTCAGCAGCATTATACTTCACCTCAAGAGTGCTATGGGAACGTTGATAATGGCAGGAGGTTGGATAGAAGGTACTCGAGGATTGCTGATAATTACAATACTTTAGAAGAGGTAATGTGTGGGTTTAGGGTTTGAATAGGGATTGATTGAAACATATCTGTGTATTCATTGAATCTTAGACTTAATTTGCATCTGTTGAATCTAATCTTCTTTTCATAGATTAAGTAACTTCAAGTAATTTGAGCGTTCTTAAATGAAAAATGATGCTGTAATTTGGGGGCTTTGCTTTGTTTTGCTTTGCTTCTTTCTGGGAAAAGGGAACGCTTTGTGTTTTTGTGCTTATTTACTGGCTTTGTACTTACGAGCCAAAATTTTAAAACTGAATAAAAAAGAAGTTTTCAGAAACCTGTTATTCATTTGGAACTTGGATTTGAAAAGTATTTTTGAATAGTAGACATTGGTGAAGGAAAAGTTCAATTTTTAGAAATAAATCATCATCAGACCGAGGCTTAGACGGTGAAGTAACCTTCTGTCCTTTCAGGTAACAGAAGCTCTTGCGCGTGCTGGCCTGGAGTCTTCCAATCTTATTGTTGGCATTGATTTCACCAAGAGCAATGAGTGGACAGGTGAAACATTAATTTCTGTGCCCAAAATTGCAAAATATTGCCTATCATTTGTGGTGGGACATTCTAAGTTGACCTTTATATTTTCAAATAGGTGCAATCTCGTTTAATAGACGAAGTCTACATCACATTGGAGACCACCCAAATCCTTATCAACAGGCAATATCAATTATTGGAAAAACATTGGCTGCTTTTGACGATGATAACTTAATTCCCTGCTTTGGGTTTGGAGATGGTTGGTATCTGTTCTTTTCTTTGCAGAACTCTTGATGAATAAAAAATGTTGGTGCTGACTTTTCTGAATTGGCAGCGTCAACTCATGATCAAGACGTCTTCAGTTTCTTCCCAGAGGAGAGGTTTTGCAATGGATTTGAAGAAGTATTAAGTCGTTACCAAGAAATTGCCCCACATCTACGACTTGCAGGTTTGTCGTATACATGTTTCTTTCTTATATTTGAAGAACTTGTCCCTTTGATATGGATTTTGATCCTGGATTTGTGATAGGACCAACATCATTTGCACCCGTTATTGAAATGGCGATGACCATTGTCGAGCAGAGTGGTGGTCAGTACCATGTTTTGCTAATAATTGCTGATGGACAGGTAGGTCTAAATGTCTGATTCCCTGCTTTTAATACGTTGACTTAGGTACTAGAAGGTGTTAAACGAAGCAACTTGCTTGTTTTCTTCTTCTACTATTACTATTGGTTTGCTGCTACTAAGGTAGAAAATGAAATTTAGAGGGACTGACGTCTTCTGGAACCTAAAAAAGTGGTGGTAGTGTCACGGTCGGTGTACGGTGTGTACAGTGCTCAATGATAATAAAAATTAATATAATGACAACATTCTTGGGATGTTTTGCGAAAATTGGGAACGTGTTTGAACTTTTCGAAAAATAAGTTATAAAAACCTGTGTCTAGTTTGCGCGTTTATGAGTTAGTGATTTGTAAAAATTAGTATGTAATATGAAAGGTGGATATCATCAACCTGGGTTTGTGTAACCTATGAGATTAACTCTAACCCATACCTTAGGATGAACAAACTTGCATTTGAGATATAGAATTATTGTAAGCCTAGGTTACACAAGCTTGCCTGTGAGCCGAATACCCATAATGTCCAAGGGAATGGTTCTTCAATTACCATCTTCCTAGCAGACATGCGTGGACGAAAAAGGGGGTGGGGTTGGACAGGGCGGATTCGTTGTGTTATCTAAGAATCTCTATGCTCTCATCTCAGCTACATGTTTCTTGCTCGGACTTTTGTTCAAGTAATTGGATTATCTGTTTGCTTCTTCACGTCTTTTAAATGTGCTCCCCTAGCTCAGGTGACTAGAAGTGTAGATACAGAACGCGGGAGGCTTAGTCCACAGGAACAGAAGACTGTTGATGCCATTGTTGAAGCAAGGTGAAAATGGAGTTCTTACATTCCTCCTGCTCCCCTGTTTACTCGAAAGCTCTAAGCACTCGTATCCATGTAATAATAATATATGCTCTCATTTCACTACAGCAAGCTCCCTCTCTCCATTGTTTTAGTTGGAGTTGGAGATGGCCCCTGGGATATGATGAGAGAATTTGACGACAATATCCCATCGCGTGCATTTGATAATTTTCAGGTTAGTACTCTTATTTCAATCCATCTTTACTTGCATACCGACATACCTATTCGTGTGTGCCACATAAATACGTACATATGCATATGATATATGAATACGCAAACTTAGATTCTTACTACGCAGTTGTTATATTTTCCTCTTCCGTCCTGTCCCGTCCAGGTTCTGTTTTGTTTTTTCATTAACTTCTCTCTCTGTGTGTGTCTAGTTTGTGAATTTCACGGAAATTATGTCGAAGAATATACCTACATCTCGGAAAGAAACCGAGTTTGCTCTTGCAGCATTAATGGAGATTCCAGCCCAGTACAAAGCTACAATAGAACTTGGTATTTTGGGGTAAGATACTATTTCCTTTTTTTGCGTCGGAAGTAACTGTTTTTCTAGATTGATTATTATTCTCTCTTAATATTGGGACTCACATTTATGAAAACTTTATATCAAGTTACAAAATAATCTTTTCTGATATTAAGTTAAATCAAATGGGAAACAGTTCTTGCTTAGAGCTTATCTATAAATTTTTTAGGAACGGGTTTCAAAAATGATCCTCACGTCTCTCGTTCGTTTCCATTGATGACGTTTTTGTGTACTCGAGCAGTGGTTGCAAGGGCTTATCTCCCCAGAGAGTTGCACTTCCTCCACCGGTCTATGGCACAACAGCTTGTTTTAGTAGTTCAAAGCCTACCTGGTCTTCCAGTTATGAGCCAAGCGTGCCTTCTTTCCCCGGAAACGGACATCCTACTACTACTAGTACAGCTCCTCCTGTAACAAGCTCAACTTATGATAACCAGGTTTGTTAGATATTATTCTTGGCCGTCATGATTTCTTTACCCATTTTTTTTTAATTTTCTGTAAATTAAACGGAACATGCTTATCGTATAATGCAATATTTCATACTACTAATTGCACTTTGACTTCAATTCAAATTGAGCGTCCTTGTTGTTTGGCCTCGTGCAACAATTACTACTTTTTCGTGTTTCGTATGTTTTCTGTTATGAGAAATTGTCGTGATTTTATTCGATAGCATGTTCGTTATGCATAATCTGAATTTGTTTCCCCAACCAAGTTCAACAGTATCTGGTGTGGCCGTACCATCGCTGGTTTGATTCTCTGACCCTTCATCACTGTCTTGAACATTAACTTGAACATGGCTCAAATGATTAAATACATATGCTCTCGAGTATGGGGAACCTCTAGAATGATTAGTAACTTTTAGCAACTCCCTTTGATATTTCAATGAAATTTCACCCTTACTTTCTTACTTTTGAATCTGAGAAGGGGCTAACATTCTACTGTTCTTGAACAGCTCTGCCCCATTTGCCTCAGCAATCCAAAGGACATGGCTTTCGGCTGTGGACATCAGGTGATATTTATGAAAATTTGTTTGAACTTATTGATGGAATGAACATGAATCAAGAATCCAAAGTTGAATGTTTGTGTGTTTGTTCATCCCAGACGTGTTGTGAATGCGGACAAGATCTCCAGACATGTCCGATATGCAGGAGCGCCATCCACACCAGGATAAAGCTCTACTGAAGCGTCTCTGCTTACTTTGCTGTAATTCTTTGTAATTTATTCCTTGATTGAATCCATTGGTCCATGCATGTTTGGGTTATGTTCTTCAAATACACCATGCGAGCTGGCCATTGAATTGCATAGTCGACGAATTTGTAGAACCCGCGTTCCAGTTTAGTCATACTCGATGCAATCTTCGAATCCGTCTGGATTAACTTTTTAAGTGTTATTTTTCCTTTTTGTACTTGAAAAAAACATTCTTTAAGCTCCTAGAAAGTCGATCCAAATAAAGATGGTAATTTGTTAGAGATAATATTGGAAGTTTTATTTATTTAAATTTTTTTTAAAGCTTATTACATATGAAATTAAAAATTTTAAAAATGGAATGAAATCTGGTTTTTAAAATTTTATTCTGAAATTAAAATGTTTAAATTCTTATACAAATAATAATAATAATAAAACTTGGAAACATTGGTCAAAATGATTTATAATTTAATAAGAAAGGAAAAAGAAAAACCCAAGAAAGGAAGGTTGGCGTGATCAACAACTGTGGGCGCTTAGGCGATGGCGGTAATACGATGGATGAAGCGTTTGAATGAACTGCTACTGTCTGATCCCGCGATCAGAGCGATAGCTTCCATGCTCATTTTCTGAATCTGCTTCGATTCCTTTTCGTTTCTCTGAAGCTTCTCTCGGATTCTGCCTTTTGTGTAGTAATGAAGCACACGGCCCACTCCCTTTCCTCCACTCGTCATCTCAAGTTCCTTCTACTCGGATTCATCGTGCTACTCGCCCTCCTTTGCCTCTATTATGGATCCTCTTTCGCTCCCAGCTCCCGTAGATTTGATGGGGAGAATTCATTCCGCTCTGGTTCTCTTTTTGGCGGGAACCTTTTCAATCACCGTTTCGATGATTTGCATGGACATCGAAGCCTGATTCTCGAGGTCCCTAAAACTATACCTGTGAGCTCCACTAGCTTTGACTTCTATTCTTTTGGTTTCGTTTCAATTCAAGTTGGTTTTCTTGATATTGTTCTTGTTTTGTAACTTGGGTGTTTCTATATGTTCTTTCCAGGTCTGCGATGAAATGTATTCTGAGTTGATTCCTTGTTTAGATAGGAACCTTATTTACCAATTGAGATTGAAGCTCAACATGACTTTGATGGAGCACTATGAGCGTCAATGCCCTCCTACTGAACGCCGCTATAATTGTCTTGTTCCTCCTCCTGTTGGTTACAAGGTTGGTTATTTGTAATTCTGCAAAGAAATGCTGTTTATTGAATGGTCTCAGCTTGATCCCGACAAACTTATAATTAGAGTTTCAGATCCCAATAAGATGGCCAAATAGTAGGGATGAAGTGTGGAAGGCAAACATACCACACACACACCTTGCAAAAGAAAAATCAGACCAGAACTGGATGGTTGTGAATGGGGATAAGATCAATTTTCCTGGAGGTGGAACTCATTTTCACGATGGAGCTGACAAGTATATCATTGCACTTGCCAAGGTGTGTTGTTTGTCCGTTCTCAATCCTTGATGTATTGTATTAAAAAAGAAAAGCACAAATTTGAGTAATTTGACATATTCCCAAGTTGTCAAATTTGTTTCTATGCGTTGCCTTCTTTCTGCAAGTAAATGAATACTGTCTGGCAACCCGTATACATGAGATTCATGCTTAATATTCTTGTTATGAGTGCAGATGCTTAAGTTCCCTGGTGATAAGCTCCACAATGGTGGAAATTTACGGAATGTCCTAGATGTCGGTTGTGGGGTTGCAAGTTTTGGAGCATATCTTCTATCACATGATGTTATAACTATGTCATTGGCTCCTAACGACGGGCATGAGAATCAAATACAATTTGCACTTGAGAGGGGGATTCCATCAACTCTTGGTGTTTTGGGAACAAAAAGACTCCCATATCCAAGTAGATCGTTTGAGTTGGCTCATTGTTCTCGATGTCGAATTGATTGGCTACAGAGAGATGGAATCCTGTTATTAGAACTTGACAGGTTATTGAGACCTGGAGGCTATTTTGCTTACTCCTCCCCTGAAGCTTATGCACAAGATCCAAAAAATAGAAGGATTGGAACTGCTATGCATGATATCCTGAAAAGAATGTGCTGGAAAGTTGTTGCCAAAAAGGATCAAACTGTCATATGGGCAAAGCCAGTAACTAATAGCTGTTACTTGAAAAGAGATCCAGGGACTCTTCCACCCTTGTGTAATTTGGATGATGATCCAGATTTGACTTGGAATGTGCCAATGAAAGCATGCTTATCCCGATACTCTAAAAGTGAGTGTAAATGCTTTTTAGCCGCATGCTCTTTTACTCATACCGTGAAGAATTTTCTCGTTTGATGATCTTCAAAAGTCGTTTCATCCTTTTTTCCCCATACGGTTTGTAAAAATATTATGATTTATACTACTCGTTTGTGAAGAAAGTTTTCAAGTAGTATATACATAAGAATTTGAATTTCGTTAATCCATGTAGCTGCGTTTCAACAGATTTTGCATTAACTTTTCTATCAACTATAGTTGTATGTCCATTCCACTTTTCCTTTTTTAAGCTCGACGCTCGTTTACATAATTCTCTTTTAACATATCAATGGAGCAGAGATGCACAAGCAAAAAGGAAGTGGACTAGTTCCTTGGCCACAGAGACTTTTTTCAGCGCCTCCCCGATCGGAAGAAGTTGGTGTCAGTGCAGGAGAATTCAAAGAAGACAGTGTAAGTTTTTTAATAGGTGTCAAGGTCATCTATGGTTTTGAAGCATTAGCAGCAACAAATGCTGTGTATTATTTATTTATTTATTCTGACATATTCTAGAAGCCTAAGGGAAAGATTTAATTTATGCAGAAGGTTTGGAAACTTAGAGTGGCAGAATATTGGAACGAAATGAGATTAGTCATACAGTGGGACTCCATCAGAAATGTGATGGATATGAATTCCAACCTTGGGGGGTTTGCTGCTGCACTAATTAATAAAGATGTCTGGGTTATGAATGTTGCTCCTGTCAATTCATCTGCAAAGTTGAAGATTGTTTATGATAGAGGCTTATTAGGAACTGTTCATGATTGGTACGCACTTTACCCATCACTCCTAACTTGACTTAGGGTCTCTCTGTTCTATATTTTTCTTTTTTCATCACACAAGTTGGTTTTTGGTGATTGAATTTACTTATGCTCATTAATATCTGTTGAAACATATATTTGCAACCCGCCTGTTTGTCTTCTTTACTTTGTTCAGATTTGGTTTTGTTATACAGGTGTGAAGCATTTTCGACATATCCTCGCACCTACGATCTTCTTCACGCCTGGGCTGTATTTTCGGAGATTAATGTTCGTGGATGCAGTATGCATGATCTATTAATTGATATGGATCGAATTCTAAGGCCAGATGGGTTCGCCATTATACGAGACGTTCCTGCTGTCATAAACTACATACGGAAGTATTTTACAGCCCTAAGATGGGATGGATGGCTATCAGAACTAGAACCCAGGGTTGATGCTCTTTCCAAAGTAGAAGAAAGGGTGTTAATTGCAAGGAAGAAGCTGTGGGGGAATGAAGTAGCAACAATCTGATTTTGCTGCATTTTCCAGGTAGATAAATTTATTTTCATTTCGTGAATGAAGCACGTCACTGCGTCGATTCGTATGGCTTCTGCATAACTTTTTTCTCGTAGGACACATCACTTCGAAAAATCCTTCTTTAGAATTGAAGTTTCAGGGAAGATAATACCCAAATGTAGGAGAACAATTGTAAAATAGGCTTTAGAGATTGCTGTACTTCAAATCTAGAAGTTTTCTTCAGATAAGAAACACATCCCATTGAGAAAGAGGTCTCTAAGCACACACAAAACTGTTAGCTTCTTCCACATCTAGAAATTTTCAAGCACTTCTTCTTTACTTAATTTATACTTAAAGATTGTTGTTTGTATGGTCTGTAAAATGGCAGTTTTAGGCGAATTACATATTGTAGTCCTGAGCTCCCAGTTGTAAAGGAAGATGGGAGAGCTTTGGATCCACAGATATATTTGCAGTGCCCATTTTCCCATCGACTTTCCCCAGTAATCGTTGCTGAAGATGAAGATGGAATGATACAAGTGCCCTGAAGATACACCCATTTATGTCAATGATATACAATTACAATAGTCGTTCAATCATTGCGAGAGTGACCACATTGTTATTTTGTCGTTCAATCATTGCGAGAGCGACTACATTGTTATTTTGTCGTTTAATCATTGCGATATGAAGGGTCAAACCATACATTTTTATAATGATAATTGATGTTTTATCTGTTGGGCACTACGAACTCTGATAACTTTTGGAGCTTCTTTTTGTTAACAAAAAAAAAAAAAGAGAGAAAAATAATGATTAATTGATCTAATGGCTATAAATATAAATTTTGCGTTTACAATTGTTTTTAGACATAAAATTAGAAATTTAAATACATATTACCGCTTTTAATATTTTGATGTCGCTATATGCTATCGTCCCCTCCAAACATCTCACGAAAATTTCGTAGATAAAACAAAATTGAGTTCCAAACTTCCCACTGTGTCTCGACTCTCATTTCGTCGATTTCTTCGGAGATTGACGCCTGGCCGTACACATCTGACCGGCAATCTACGCTTTCTATGACTTTCTAGATTTTTCAAGATTCAGATCGGTTTTTCTCCTGTTCGTAGACTTGGATCGGCCGTTTGGAACTATTTTTCCTCCAGGTTTTCCTCTTGCATGAATTATTTCCGCTATACTTCTTGTTTTGCGGCAACTGATTTCGTCAGTGTTGTCTGATTTCTAATTATGGAGCTTCTCATGTCAATTCCTGGCTTTCGCGCCAGTACGATCCCAACTTTGTTCTCTTAGTCCGAATCGGTTTTAGTGACATCGGTACTGTAGCAGTATCAAACGTGGTCATAATCTTAGTTATTGCAATGCGAATTGAAGATAAATGCAAGCTCAAGCTATTGCGATCACGTTTGATGCTTGCTGCACACGTTGTGTGGCCACAATTTTTTCCGAAACTGTAGTGTAGACAAGTTGCGAACTCTTTGTTGTTTAATTTTTCGGCTTTTTGCTCAACAGTTTAATTTTCCTTTACGTTCATCTTTTCAGGTTTGGTTCTTTTAATAAATCGACATCAGATTCATGCTTGGAGTTCTGGAAACTGCAAAATTGACTACTGAATGTCTTTCCTAGTACCTACACCAAATAGGTTTCAAGACATTCTTATTTAACTTGAAACTTGAAGGGTTTAGACACTATGGCGAACCCAACACGCAGGTTAAATTATAATCGAGCTCTTATTTGCCTTTTAGGTTATGTGGAGCTTCAGCTTCCTGTAGTTATCAATGGCTTACAGATTTTTTTTTTATTTTTTATTTATTTTTTGCTTTCATTTAAAATATTTACTTTCAACTTGTATTGATGTGCAGTGGAAACATGAGAAAATCTAATGAGATAATGAGGATTATGGTCACAACATTTGTCGGTGGCGTTTTTGGTTTCTTTTTAGGAGTATCCTTTCCCACGCTCTCGTTATCCCAGGTAGAAAATTTTATTTTTGGGCGTTTTCTATTAATTACGTATAGAACAATTTCATCCATAATGATTTGGCTCACATATTTTTTAAGGGTGAGAAAGCTTATTATTTTTTTATTTATTCTGGTAGCTAAATTTCCCATCCAGCCTGATTCCTTCTATTGATCTCACTTACATTGAGGACAAGTACTCAGGCCTTTCCACTGAAGCATTCTTGAATGCTTGGTCTTCTTTGAAGGGTAATAGAGGCAGCTCCTTACCATTTTCATTGAGCGAGGCAAAGGTGCATCTCTTACTTAAAAATTGTTTATAATGCTTTACTTTAATTTACATCAATGAGATATTTTTTAAATGTTTCTCAGAAAGATATCATGGTCTGTATTCCGTAAATTTCTAAAACTGCTGTATAAATGAACAGGATGTTAACTATGGGGTACACGTCTATTTGAGTTTTGGATTTCTTTTAAGAGTTTTGAATAATCTTCATCTTTCCCTTCAAATTTTCATAATTCAATATGATATTCTTGACTTTGAGAATGGTTTGATTACTGTGACTGAAGAACTGGTACTTTTTCTTATACGATCGAATTTTATCAACTTTAGTACTTTTATTTAGTTGCCAAAGAAAATTGATTAAACTGAAAAATTAAAGCTGGATGAACTAATTTAGTCTGTTGCTTTGGCTCTGCTTCTGTTATTATGAGGAAACCAGAGGAGTTTGGTGGTCTTGATTTTGGTAATATAAGAAAGACAATTGTGCCCTTAGTTTCCTAATGGTAATAGATATGAGGTAGCCTAATGAGAATGAGAGCTTCTGGCATAACATTATTGTGAGCAAGATTGGTCCAACGATGCATTCCATTGGCTGATTAGGATGAAAAAAGCTCTCCCAGTTATTCAAGTGTTTACTCCCAATCATGCCAAGAATTCAGAGTGTGAAAGGAAACTCAGGGTCATTCTCTAGCAAGCCTGTCTTCCATCATTTGCTTGATAAGACGTATGCTATTCTCGGACACTTGGCAAAATGCATCTGGCAATGGAAGGCTCCTTAATAAGCGAGATTCTTCATATTAATAATGATGTGTCTTAACACAAAAGAATATTATTTCTGAACTTTTTTCCTTGAAGCGCAGTGCTCCATTGGCACAATAGATAAACAATCTCCTTGGTTCTTACTCACCACAAAAAGTATTATATGCTGTTGTGATCAAACTTGTATGAACGTTATTTTCTTAAATGAAAAATAATTGTGGATATTGTTATTCATGCACATACTTCGGCAGGAGATGGTATTCTTGAGAACTTTGTATTTTCAGATTTCTTCTGCTAGAATTGGCTATTGAAACTTTGATGATGATGCAGATATGGGTTCCTACAAATCCTCGAGGAGCTGAAAGACTACCACCTGGTATTGTTGAGCCTGAATCTGATTTTAACCTTCGGCGTCTGTGGGGTATGCCAAGCGAGGTACTCATTGCCTACAAAAGCTTTGCAACTTGTACTTGTCCTAATAAACTTGTGTGTGAAACTAGTGAATAGCTTTAGTGTAGTTTACTTGTATTAGCTTACGTAGTTTCAACTTGATCAATAAATTGATAGGCTGACTGTAGATTTGAAGTGGAGAATTATGACATAGGACTGAGTTGCTCATTGGTACCAGAACAGTGACCAATTTATTCTGAATTTACATACATACATATATATATATATATACATACATATATATATATATATATATAGATAGATAGATAGATAGATAAATTATATATATATATATAGATAGATAGATAGATAGATAAATTACATAATATTTTTTGAGGGGCAGGGGAGTTTATGGATGCCAACTTGACACCATTGACGGATCTACCCCTTTTTATCTGCAACACTACCTGTTTAGTGTATGCCTGTTTTGGAATGGGAGAAATTATTGGAAATTTCATCAAAGAGTAAAGTTGATTCTCGATGGGTTTTTTTTCCCTTGTAAATAGAAGATTTGAATTATATTTTCCTATCTGTTTCCTGTCACCGATACATTTCTTGGAATACAAAAGATCTGCATGTTCCCCATTATGGACAGGACGTAGAATGGGTTACATAAAGTTGAAATTATCAAATCTGAAACCATCATAATATATATGATTGATGGAAAAAGGGGATGTCATGTTTGACCTTATCTTAACAGAAAAATAATTCACTCATCCGTTAATCGAAATTTCTACTTTGGTTCTCAAACTGAATCCATTATTGTTGACTTCACTTGCAGGATTTGGCTATCAAACCGAAGTATCTGGTTACATTTACAGTTGGTTTTGATCAGAAAAAGAATATTGATGCAGCAGTGAAAAAGGTAGGTTGAAAAGGTGTGCATGTTATTACGGAACTAAGTTCGAAAAGATTGAGAAATAGAACTCTCTCCATATCTGATGTATTTTGACAGTTCTCAGAGAACTTCACGATTCTTTTGTTTCACTATGATGGACGAGCAAGTGAGTGGGAAGATCTTGAGTGGTCGAAGCGGGCTATCCACGTGAGTGTACGCAAGCAAACTAAATGGTCAGTTACAAGCTCCTTCACCAAAATAATCTTTCATGGAAGGCAGCAACGTATGTTATTTGTACATCTCATCTAAACTATGTATACTCCTTCCTAGGTGGTATGCTAAGCGTTTTCTCCATCCTGACATCGTGGCATCCTATGACTACATATTCGTTTGGGACGAGGATCTAGGAGTAGAGCATTTTGACGCTGAAAAGTATGTTTGAAACCTTACTCTTTAATTTGAGAGAACCCAAGCAAGTCAAAATTTCCTGTCCGTTCCAGATATATAAAACTTGTGAGAAAACATGGTTTGGAGATCTCGCAGCCTGGCTTGGAACCAAATCAAGGGTTAACGTGGCAGATGACTAAAAGAAGAGGTGACAGTGAAGTTCACAAGTAAGGGAAAAACATTTTTTTTAATTAAAAGAAAGTTTATTCAAAATTTTTGTTCATCTAAATATCCTTACAATTCTAGTTTTATTGAAATGCGGCCATGAATCATCGTTGCTTCTATTTGGTTGAATGCAGGGAGACAGAGGAGAAACCCGGTTGGTGCACTGATCCACATCTTCCACCTTGTGCAGCGTATGTAATCGATGATTTTATCTATTCTTTTACTTGTTTTACCTTTTGTCTACTAAACATTATCTCAGTATGACTTAACAGAAACACTGATTTTTATCATTGTTATTATTTTTACCCTCTTGCATGTAGTTTCGTTGAAATCATGGCAACTGTATTTTCTCGGGATGCATGGCGCTGTGTTTGGCATTTGATTCAAGTATGGATTCTTCGACTTGAAACTTTGATCCATTGCCTTGACTTAATTTTTAGCCAGTTTTAAATCATTTTTCCCCTCTTGGATATTGTAGAATGACTTGGTTCATGGTTGGGGCCTCGATTTTGCACTAAGAAAATGTGTACACGTACGTACTAAACATTCTCACTTGCCTTAGTTATATTTCACGTTATTTTTTCCCCTGGATTCATCACTCTTCGTGTTTTAAAGCACAGCCAGCTCATGAGAAAATAGGGGTTGTAGACGCTCAGTGGATTGTGCACCAAAGCGTTCCTTCTCTTGGGAACCAGGTAATCCGACACTTTGGATACTGCCTCTAACCATTTCATAACAAAGATTTTCTTCTCACGATATATTCTTCCAACAGGGAAAAGCCGAAAATGGGAGGCCACCATGGGAAGGGGTAAGCAGCTGATGAATTCCAAACCCCACCACCTTACAGAATTTAAAACTAATGTTAATTACTTAATTTGAATATTCTCAGGTGAGAGAGAGATGTAGAAAAGAATGGACAATTTTTAAGAGCCGGTTGGCTGATGCAGAGAAGGCCTACTATCAGGGAATGGGGATTGATCCACCAAATTCAACTCAAGTGTAGGAAAACAGATCTTGTGTGTCGCACTGGTAATTGTTCTGTCTCTTAGGAGTATTAGTACCTAATGCCTAGTCTTTTTAAGCTCTAAAAAAACTTCCTGTGAGAGATAAGTAAGGCTACGTGTGGATTAGATCATGGCTGTATAATGGATAGAATCTACTACTAAATGTAGAAAATAGTCTTAAAAAGGAGCTTAGACATTTCAGATCTCTATTTTGCATCAAATCTGGCAAAACCTCGGCAAGGTAATGTTCTTCCAACCATCATTAGTTTACTGCTAAAGTTGCTGAAGAAGTCTTCTCGATCATCATGTAGACTCATGAAATAGTAGGCAGCTTGATGCCTTTTGATATATATTTTTGGGTCAACTAGATCAAGTAAATATTCGTTCAAAGTGAGGTCCTGACTAAGTGTCTTACATATTGTTGAACTAAAAAAATGATCTATAAGTAATTAATCATTTTTTCTAAAAAAAGAAACAACTCTTTCCCCTAAATACGACAAACCAACGTACTTATCTCCTTTCCTTTCATCTCGGGGTCGTCTTTCTTTAATCAGAAGAGTCATAGAAATGTCTGTGAAGGGGTGGTGCTTAATATGGACCCTGATGATGAGAGATCCTTAAAGCTAAAAGTAAGCTTTGGTAATCGCATCTTCCAACTCTTTGAATTCCCAGGCATCATCTGCTAGATATTCCCCTGAAATGGGAGTGGGAGCCTCATATGTCAATATCCATCACATTGTCTTCTTGGATATTCAATGAAAGGAAAAAAAAAAAAAAAAAAAAA